TTGTGCTTGCCACATAATAGCAAAACGTTGAAAATGACTGAAATTGGACCAAAATTAAGGCCACTTTTCATATAATGGTCAATTTCAGAAATGCTTGAAACTTCGATATTTCGAAATTTAAGGACTCAAAATAATCTCTTGAAAATAAGTAACATTATTTGGAATTTCGGAAAATGGGCGTGATACCGCCCACATATGATTATATAAGATTATCTCATTATGTCTAACTGAACGTTCTATCAAAGATGTTTAAAATAGACGTAAAAACACCCCTGCTTACCATGTGGCGGTAGCTTTCGGAAAGGTGAAAATCATATATTTAATACTTGCGCCGGGTATTTAATGTTCGGCCACGCCCAAACTTAGACTTTCTTACTTATTATATTTTTATATATATGTATATATATATTTTTTTTAAGTCGGTTTTTTTGCTAAAAATTACTTGTGTATATTCATAATTCGCGATCAATTATGCCTTGCGAGCTCATAGCGAGAAAAAACGACCACTAAACAACATGTACAGGTCACAGCAAAGCCACAATCATGACGCGCTAAACCAAACCAAGAAAGTAGCGCAAGGGGAAATGGATACCTATTCATACATACATATGTATATGTATGTACATGAGTTGCCACCAAAACCCAAACAACGCGCACCCATGCGCGCTGGAGCACCCATGAACTGTGCTAAATCTACTTAAAAAGAAACAACAAAATTTTAGCTAACAAAAAACACCACAGCCAGTTGTTGAACGAAGAAGCAAAGCAAAGCGTATATTGCAACGCATAAAAAATATAAATTTCAGCGTGGGGCAGGCCCACAATGGTCGGAATGAAGAATCTAGCCGGACGAAATACTAAAAATTAAAGTCTTGTAATCGGTTTAGGATCGAAAATAATTTCACAGGAATGTGTAGTAAGTAGCCCCCTCCACTCTACGATTTTACATTAATGTGCAATTTTTGCATTTTACACCTGTAAACGCCACGGTCCTGAACGTAAAATTTCAAAGTTCGCAAGAGACGTATCCAGCATCCTACTCTACACTATTTTTTTTCTCTAAACAGTCAGGAAAATTGTGAAGTTCAATCGTCTCATCTTAAAAATTATTAATTCTTCATTTATAATAGTGAAAAACATACATTTTTTAACCCGGATTCCATCGCACTATAGATTAAAAAATGGCAAAAGGAAACTTCACTATTTTTGATTTTCGAAATAGATTTCGAAATTTTTGTTATATTTATCAATAAATTTACCGATATTTTTATCGATATAGTTATAGACATTTTCATCGATATATTTTTGATATCTATATACATACAAATTTAGTATCGGAAACTCCGAAAAAGTCCCTACGNGCATTAGTTTTCGAATAATGCGCGTACAAACATAAAAACATACAGACACACAGACAAAAATTCTAAAAAAAATGTTGATTTGGCGTCTGTTGCTCTAATAAAGACCCCCCATATTAATTTTTTTTTAACATCTATAATGTACAGACATCGGCCTGTTACAATTTTATTATATGTACATTAGACTGCATCACCAAAAAATGTTGCGGTTTTTCCGCCAGGATTACAAAATGTATTATATTTTAAGACGTTTACCAAAATATTTCGAAAAAATATTAAGATTTAAGTGAGCTGGACCGATTTGAAACTACCTCCAAAAATGGAGCTTTTTATGAATAAAAATAGTTTCTTAAAGAACTTTTTGAAAAAAGCCCCTTCAAATGACAAAACAGATTAAGCTTAAAAAATCTGCATAAAAATATTTAAACATCTTTTCAACGGAATGAGATTTTTGATGCGGTTTTTTTAACTTTTTTCAAAGATTGATTTACGAAAAACTTGAATACATGGGCCAAAACTATTCTGATTTAGACTTATGGGATGTCAGTAGAAAGGTATTTTCACACTGTTTTTATTTCTGTCCAAAAAAAGTCATTCGTGTCCCAATTTATTTTTTTTTCTAACACCAACACATCTTAATTCAAATTCGAACGACGTTCGTTCATCTTACATTTCTCTTTCATCCTTTGAATGAGTTTATTAGCAAAGAAATAAAAAGGGTGGGAAAATACCTTTCCAATGACACGTCTTAAGTCTAAATCGGAACTGTTTAGGTTCAGTTATTCAAGTTTTTCTTATACCAATCTTTGAAAAAAATTAAAAAACATCATCAAAAATCTCAACATTACGATTCCGTTCAAATTTTTTTTAATTTCTTTTAAATATTTTTATGCAAATTTTTTATGCTTAAACCGTTTTGTCATTTGAGGGAATTTTTACAAAAAAAATCTTTAAGAAACTATTTTTATTCATAAAAACCCCATTTTTGGAGGTATTTTCAAATCGGTCCAGCTCACTTAAATCTTAATATTTTTCCGAATAATTTTGGTGGACGTCTTAAAATATAATAGATTTTATACATAATTCCAATGGAAAAATAGTACCGATATTTTTTTTATGGGGAGTGATGCAGTCTAATGTACATATATAGTCTCGAAAATCCTAGACATCCCGAAGTAAATATCAAGTACTTGGTATTTAATCAAGCCATAAGTACTAAGTGGTTTTGTATCCAGTATTTAGTAAAAAAAAGTCTCTAAATACTTTGCAATAGTTTTGTTCCGCTATATTCTCTATTCAGACCACTGTGAGGCGGATGAACCACACACGCCCATACTTGTATACTATGTAAGTATGTATGTAGTTGGCAACGGTGACCGGCTAGTCGTTTGCCGGTTACGATAATCAATGAATGTATGTACATGCACAAAATAAATACAAACCGAGCTGATGGAAGGTTAGGTCGAGTGTAACACGCCTACGCTATTGAATAAATTAGTTGAAATAGGAAACCTGCACTGGTCAGCTTTTAGAAGCCAAACGAGTAGGGTACTAAATTTTAGTGCATAAATTGCCAAACGGAAGGTGCGGAAATGAAAATGAAGAAGCAAAAACATAATTTATTTAGCACATTCAAATTCGTAGAACTTTTCGCGTTCGTAACCATACCACAGTGATAAAGTGTTTCATATGTAAATGGTTCGGTTAAGGAGATGATGGAACTCCGTATGGAAAATAAAGAGGCTAAAAAAATGGGTACAACTTTTGGCTAGAGCACAATTTTTTCTTCTATTGTTATTTGGCGCCACAACGGTTTGTCGGTTTGGGCCGCAAGTGTCTCTCTCCTCTGCGAATTTACACCAGCTGGTTATACCAAGCGCAGATAGGCCATTATGCACCTACCATTCCATTGTGTTCGTGGGCTTACTTGCTTTCTTTGTCGGCCCATGGAAAGTTAATCGAGAGATCGTTTTTACTTCGGAGCATTTCATCTATGGGTATGACATGTTCAGGTCAATCATTTTGTTTTTCAGCGCTTAACTATTTTGTTAAAAAGCTAGTGCATTTCGCCTTCTCATTTTTGCTCAATACTCAATGCTCGTCTACGCTGTATAATGAATGGCAAGGGTGTAATGAATGATTTGAAGAGAGTAATTTTTATGCATCCAAAAGGGCTTTGCTGCATATTGAAATGTCTGTCGAGCCCAAGGAACTCGTAGCAACTGCTTGCAATAAATACATAGTTATTCGTCGTTTGAACCCCAGGCTGGCATTATTTTTGGTGTTAATACTGAATCGTAGAAGTCAAAGTTTAAAATTGTAGCTGCCAAAGAGTGACGAATGTATGTCCCACCTATTACCTACTTTGTCTTGTTTTCCTCCAATGCTAGACCAAGTTCCTTTGTGTCATTTTCTGAGCTGGAAAAAGCTGCGCCTACGGCCTTTTTGTTCAGACCGATGATGTCACTGACACCTGCATACGCCAGCAGCATCGTGATTTTACTGATTCTGCTTCTTCTTCTTGTTTGGCGCTGTAACCGCTAAAATGATTTTGGCCGAATCGTCTCATTTCTGGCGCCAATTGGACATGCCAAGTGAAGCCAAGTCCTTCTCGACTTGATCTTTCCAACATAGATGAGGCCTCCCTCTTCCTCTGTTACCAGCATCGCGACCCGAATTGAATACTTTCAGAGCTAGAGCGTTTCGCCTTATCTAACACCTCAGTTAACCACGAACAGCTCGGAGAGTTATTTCCAAATTCGAACGGAGCTAAAAGTTGAACTCAACGTCACTCTACATAGTCGCACTAGTTTTGCGGGGAACCCAAATTTAGACATGGCGTCGTACAGGTAGCTTCTCTCCGTGTTATTATATGCGGCTTTGAAATGAACAAAAATATCGATTTTCAAATCTAGTGCCTTCTACAAAATTTGACATGCTATGTTTAGACTGGAGTCCTGCATATTAGCCTTTTCCTGTACCTGTGAAGAGTCCACTTACATCCGTCCCAAAAAAGCCTAGCTTTTGGTGCTGTGCCTTAGTGGTTAGAAGTGTGCACTGCCATTCCCCAGGGCCTGGGATCGACTCCAGTTTTCGACTAACATCAAGAATAAAAGAAAAGCAAACGTTTTTTTCTAATAGCAATCGCCCATCGACAGGCAATGGCAAACTTCCGAGTGTATTTCTGCCATGAAAAACAGCTCCTCCTAAAAACTAATCGCCGTTCGGATCCGGCTTAAAACTGTAGGTCCCTCCATTTTGTGTGATATAATCAAGAATTCGCATTTGACATTAACCTCGTTGAAATTCAATCTATTCGTTTCGGTTGTCCAAGGCAAGATCAAAAGAAATAGTGCACTGCCTTGATATCCTGCGGTGGTCAACTCTCGTGACCGGACGATATTTGCGGGTTTTCGTTTGCGCATTTCATTAAAATGGACATTTCTACGTTGTGGATCCACTGAACTGTATGAATACCGTATATTTACTGGGGTAGCGGAGCAATTAGACCCTTACAAATAATGATAATGATTTGGACTAAATAGCAAACACAAGAAGTAGCAAATCACTTTTATGAGTCATATTTTTATTTATGTTATGCATAAATGTAGAACTTTCATACTAAAATAAAAAAAGAATTTGTTGAGTTTTTATCTCAATATGAATATAAAGATAATTCAGAGCTTTTATTGATTAGCATATGTATTCTTATGATGTCTACTTTTACAAATAAAGGACATTTTTTTGTTGGTTACAAAGACACGTCTTTATTTTACTAAGCACAAGTTTTAGATCATAATCAATAGCGGCGTTTGCACGATCCCACATGTGTGACAACATGGTGCGATAGCTATTGATGTTCAATCGTGTAAACCTGTTGGCTGGTTTAAAAAATTTCTGAGATCTTACAGTTATGTTCGCTCGTTATAAATATAAGACTACTATTTAAAAAAAAAAATACTTAAATGTATTTGCTCTTAAACTCGTATTTCATACAGTTCTACATCGCATACCATCTCCAAAAGATGCAAAACTCAAAAGAAAAGTTTGATCGATTTTTTTGCATAAATCAATTCGTAGAACTTACTTCGAATTAATGCAAATATTTCTGTGCCCCGTCAAAATTACATTTTCCAACTAGAAAGCTATTTTTATACCGGTTTATACATTAATTGTGCTGAATCTGTACCATCCACAAGCCGTTATATTTTAGCATCTGATTTTTGAATTCTGCCTCTTTTGAAGACGGTGTACATAGATACATACTTAGAACTATCTACTATTTTTCAAAGGACATTTCCTGTAACAGTTCCCTAGGCACTTCTAGCTCAACTTCTGGCTGGTTTATTTCATGGAAATTATATTTGGTTAGCAAAAGATTATAATTAATATCATGTTCCTTCAAATTCACTAGAGCGCTTGTCGCTCTACCAACAGTTACTTGCGTGACTGGTACTGAGAGCGCTGCCTGCAACATTTCTGCAACCTCAGCATCAAAGCTCATGGCCTTCCAGTATTGTAGAACATCGGTGTCGAGAGGAGCCATAGTTTTGTTGGATAGCAAACCGATCAATTTATGCATAAAACTCCGCTGAGGTTCTTCACTTTCGCCTATATTGGAAGACAAATTCATAATACGCTGAGTCAATTTGTCGTAGGCTTTCTTCGAAGTAGTAGGTTCCTCTTCACATTTAATCGCATGTAGACTAGCTTCAGTTGGCTCTTCCACCGTTATTTGTGAAAGACTTTTCCTCGAACTATTCATTGCTTTGTATGCTGTTTTTAGAAATGCCTAAGATGAAAAAAAATCGTACATGTTGATAAAAAAAAGAGTGTCAAACAAGAATTTTAATGCGCTTGCATCAATTGATACCCACCTCAGCTTTGCTTTTTTGCTCCTCAGTGAGCATGACAGAAGTGCAAAAGTTAAAACGCGGATCTAAATACAAAGCTGTTAAAAATGCATTTGATTTGAGTAGCTTCTTCTTGTATGTTTGCATTGCTAGTACAAAGAGCCGTGCAAATTTTGATCTGGATAAGATTTCCTCCAACTCTATTTCACAATTTAACCAATCTCTATAAAAGTCACCCACAACGTATTGCTCATTGTCTAATTGGTTAATGAGATTTACGAGAGGAGCGAGCGCGCTTGTTATGTCTGTTATGAAGGCCCAATCGAGTTGGCTTTCCAAATGCTCAGCAACTTCT